CTGGTCCATGGGGTCGCGAAGAGTCGGACTCGACTGTGCGACTGAACAACAACAACTATTGGCAGATTAATCGTGTGTGTGTGTGTTTGCGTGCATTTGTTTGCTGGATCCTAAGTCTGTGTGAGGGGTGTCACATTACATATTGTTGAGTTCCAGTTTTGGTTCAGATCCTTACGTCTGGGGAGAGCAGGAGGGTGGAATCAAATGATGTGGCTGTTTGCAGAACTTAGTGAATTAGCATCTGTAGAGGATGAGGAATGACAGTTAGTAGAGTTTAGGCCCTCACTTCATCCCAAAATTCATGATGTGCACATTTCCCTGGCTCCACCCTGCAATGGCCAGCAAACCCTTGTGTGATCGTGTTCCCTCTAAGCTGAATTAGTGTGAGCTAGCTCACAGTTTTTTAGCCCCTGGTTCACACATTTTTGTCTTAGCTCAGGAAGGATGGCTCCCAGAGCAAACTAATTTACGCAGGAGCCAAATCGCTCGCTCACAGCTTTAATGTCAGTAGCTCACAAAGTAGAATTTTTGCCCACAAGACTCCACAGCTCAGAGGGAGCATTGGTGATCTCTGTATGCAGCACATCACAAAAGCGGTTCCTGAGCACAGGATCCACAAAAGTGGATTCTGCCCAGTTTGGTGTAGTGGTTAAGAGTGGCAGACTCTAATCTGGGGAACTGGGTTTGATTGCCCAATCCTCTACATGCAGTCAGCTGGGTGACCTTGGGTCAGTCACAGCTCTCTCGGAGCTCTCTCAGCCCCACCTAACTCACAGGATGTCTGTTGTGGGTAGAGGAAAGGAAGGTGATTTTAAGCTGCTCTGAGACTCTGAGTAAAGGCTGGGTATAAATCTAATCTCTTCTCTTCTTCTTTAACCAAAACTCTTGTTGATCTCTAAGGTTCTATTGGACTTGAATCTAGCTCTTAGACCATGAGTGGCTTTATTGTAAAGACTGTTCTTTTTGTAGTATCCTTATCAACCATCAGCTGTTTTGAATCTAGCATCAAGCTCTACAAAAGAAACTCACTTCCTTGGCTGTAGATAAATGCTTTGCAGTGTGCAGAGTATCTTCTGTAGGCTCAGAAGCTGAAAGTAAGAACATCAGAAGAGCCCTGCTGGATCAGGGCAGTGGTCCCTCCAGTCCAGCATCCTGTCTCACCCAGTGGCCAACCAGTTCCTCTGGAGGGCCAACAACGGGGCATGGAGGCCAGGCCTTCCCCTGATGTTGCCTCCTGGCTCTGGGTTTCAGAGGCTTAGTGCTGCTGAATAAATCAGTTGTTTCGCTCTCCCCAGAACATATCAGCGTGTCTCCTCCCAGGGTCTCCTGCTGCCTGGCTGCTCCTGTGTGCCTCTTTTTGACAAAACATATGAAATTTTTCAAAATGCCTGACATCTAGGTTCAAGTGAAGCAAATATGTGCAATTTAGCCCTCCACATCTGGATTTAGAATTTCTTGGCACGGCTAGTATTCCGCATCATCTCCCCCCCCCCACACACACACCTTTTGCAGATATCATCCCTGCTCACAATTGCTTGCGCTATTGCTAAATGGAATGTAACAGACGTGTATGCGCTTCCCCTGGGGATCAGATGTTCCATGAGGGGTTTGTCCGTAAACGGCTAATTAATCCAATTAATTAAACACTAGAGATTAATCCCTATTAAGTCCTCGTATAATAGCTTCATTCAAGCATTGCTCGTTATAAGGACAAAAGCTAATGTTTAATACATTCTGAGCATGCAACCTGGCTCTGTGTATTTATTGTAGTGTAGGGGTTAGAGAGTAGAACTGAGATCTGGGTTCAGATCTCTGCTGTTTTGGGTGACCTTGGGCCAGTCCTCCTCTTTCCGTCTAATGTACCTTGCAGGATAGTTCAGATTTATATTTATTGTATTGTATTTGTTATTTATAGTCCACCTTTCTCACTTGGACGTGAGGAGGATTATGCTGAGTGAGTCAATATGATCGAAGAGATCGGACGTTCAGTCAGCAAGGCAATAGGAACTGGGGTTGTAGAATTTATTTATTTATTTATTAAATTTGATTTACTAGGCCGCCCTTCCCAAGAATAGGATTCAGGGTGGCTTACAACAGAATAAATATGCAATCTCAATTTAAAACTAGATTAAAATAACCCAATAAATACCAGTACATAATCAACCAGAAGTCTAAAAACAGAAGCAAGGCATAACTATTAGCATGAGGCATTAAATGATCCAAAAATTCCACAGTGGGATCCTAGGGTTCAGCAAGCTGCACACACTAGTACAGACCACAGTCCTCGATAATATTCCCAAGTAACTTTGTGAATCATTTCGTCCAGTGCAGCTCTGTTGCCTGCGCAGAAAAGCCCTCTTGAATAATTCAGTTTTGCATAGTTTGCAGAAAGCCATGAGAGTGGGAGAATAAGAATAGAGGAGGGGGAAACCGTACACCACCGTGAGCTCTTCGGAAGAGTGGGATAAAACTATAACGGATCCGTTTGTTATTTCTTGTTCCCGGAAAGCCAGGGTTGCAACCCAACATCAGCACCATTTTAAATTTGTGTTCCTGTTCAGCATTTTGCAGACATTTGCCAAGAAAACGAAGTCTTGAAAGGCTTCTGCTTCCACCCACCCCTTTTGCCCACCCCCCGTTTTGCGATATCTAATCCGATGAAGAGCTGTGGTGAACCTGAACGCCCGCGTTCTGTTATGTGTCGTTCTGGTTGGCCCTGCTGAAAGCTGTTAACATGGATTTGCATCTTCATTCTTAGATACATGGGTTGGTTCTCTTTAACAGTGCCGTCGTAAGCAGAGTTACTCTTCTAAACCCATTGACTTTAGTAGACTGAGAAGAAGCACCTTGAAGACTAACAAAATTGGTGGCAGGATATGAGCTTCTTCTGCTCACTTCTTCAGATATTACTGCTACAGACAGACTAATATGGCTACCCATGACTCACAAAAGCTCATACCCTGCCCCGAGTTGTGTTAGTCTTTAAGGTGCCACTGGACTCTTGCTCTTTTCCACTGCTACAGACAGACTGGCATGGCTTACCCATCTTGATCTAACTCTGTTTAGGATTGCACTGTGTTAGTCCTAAACAGTTCAGCGGAGGTTGCGCCCAAGCAAATGCAGGTAGGTACCCTTGTACTGGCTTGCCGTTTTGAAATGGGTCACCTCAACAAATTATCGCCTGCCCCCTTTGCCATGCTGTCTTTGTAGAATCCAGGCTCTTCCTGCGATGTGATTTCTTCCCCTCAGGTTCAGTGTTCCCTCTAAGCTGAGTTAGTGTGAGCCAGCTCACAGTTTGTTAGCCTCCAGCTCACACATTTTTTGTCTTAGCTCAGGAAGGACGGCTCCGGAGCAAACTCATTTATGCAGGAGCCGAATCGCTCGCTCACAACTTTAATGCCGGTAACTCACAAAGTAGCATTTTCGCTCACGAGACTCCACAGCTTAGAGGGAGCATTGCGTTACTGCTTCAACCCTGACCCCGTTATTAATGACTTTTAACCTACTAGCAAAAGGAAAAGTAGACAAGGGCAGGTGTAGCTAGGCTACTGGTCTATACATTTCTGTGGATTTAAAGACTGCTCATGTAATATATCACATGTGTGGTTTATGTGAGCTTGTTCCTTTCAAGGGCTGTGCTGATGTAATATATCACACGTGTGGTTTATGTGAGCTTGTTCCTTTCAGTTTTGCTGTGGTGTTATGCATGACATTTTTAGAACCTTTGAGGTATACATTTGCGTAGGCGCCTGCCCAACATGCGCAAGAGCTACTCGTGATGTGTCTTCAGAGTACAAACAGGGCCTGAGCTTGAGATAGTGTATAGACTCCATTGCTCAAGAGTTTTCTGTTGTTTCCATTTGCTAGGTGAGGTTCTGAACAGTTCTTGTGTCTGAAACTAAAGTGGGGGCTGCAGTCTCTGACAGCCACATCTCTTCCTGTGTGTAGCTCAACAAACAGGTGTCCTTCTGAGTCCCATACAGAAGAGGCCCTGTGGTTTCTGACAGAGAACTGGATCATTCCGTTCATAGGGTGTCAACTAGCGGATCTTGGTTTGCATCTAGATTGAGCTGTAGGATGCAACAGGTATGTTATTAGCTTCATCTCCGTTTGGGGGGGTGATAGAAGAGAAGAAAGGTGAACAGAAGCAGAACATGGTATTTTGGGAAGTGCTCTGTTGTGGGCTGGTATTAAAGGTGAGTCCCAAATCTAAGAAAGCGGAAGACTGATGGCTCAATTGGTCCTGGAAGTCACATCAGCAGATCCCTACCTAGATGATAGCCTCAACAGTACCTTGATGAGAGGGAGTTCCTTCTTACTTCTTCTTGTATCCTCCACACTTTGGCTGCTGCCTGCGACCTCTTCCTTGTGGAACACACACACACACACAAGGTTCATTTCTGTAGTTTCTCTAATGTTGTTAGAAAGAACGACCAGAAAGGCAGAATGGTATCCAGGTGATACATGTGTGTAGGAAGGCGATGAAAATTGTGAATTGGGTGTTGGCTTTTCTGTTCATCAGCATCACGCTATCAAAATTCCCTATGATGTTATGATGTTTAAGAGATGACTGGCCCAATGGAAGGCTTGCCTATCTTTAGTGAGTCAGGCCGTGTGGGGGCGATCACTATTTGAGGCTGGAACTGTTTTAGGTTTTGAGGGCAAGAAACTGGAGAACAATCCTGCGTGGTGTTGTATGTTCTCTTATGTCTAATGTGCGCAAGCAAGGGTAAGAGATGAATGGCCCAATGGAAGGCTTACCTATCTTTAGTGAGTCAGGCCGTGTGGGGGCGATCACTATTTGTGGCTGGAACCGTTTTAGGTTTTGAGGGCAAGAAACTGGAGAACAATCCTACGTGGTGTTGTATGTTCTCTTATGTCTGATGTGCGCAAGCAAGGGTGGCCCAGCCATACGTAGCTTCTCTTCTTTCCAAAGGGTAACAAGGGAGGCTGATAAGCAAACTTCACTTCCTGTCTTTTTGCCTCCTCCTTCCTCCCAGGGAACAGAGATTTGAAAAAATGACCCACTGCTATTACAACGAGACGGTCGAGTTCTTCTACAACAAAAGTGGGAAGGAGCTGTGCCACCACTGGAGGGCCAAGGATGTCTTGGTGGTAGTTCTTGGCTTGACGGTCAGCATCATCGTCCTGCTCACCAACTTGCTCGTCATCACCGCCATTGTTATCAACAAGCGCTTCCACTACCCTATCTACTACCTACTCGGGAACCTGGCTGCCGCCGACCTCTTTGCTGGCATTGCTTATATGTTCCTGATGTTTCACACCGGGCCCAGGACAGCTGAGCTCTCTCTCAAGACCTGGTTTATCAGGCAGAGCCTCTTGGACACCAGCCTCACGGCTTCGGTGGTCAACCTCTTGGCCATCGCGGTGGAGAGGCACCAGACTGTCTTCACCATGCAGCTCCACAGCACCATGTCCAACCAGCGGGTGATGATTCTTATCTGCTGCATCTGGGTCACAGCCCTGCTGCTGGGCCTCATCCCCTCCTACGGCTGGCACTGCCTGTGCGACCTAGACAATTGTTCCAAGATGGCGCCCCTCTACAGCCGCAGCTATCTGACCTTCTGGGCCCTCTCCAATCTCTTCATCTTCCTGGTCATGGTGGTTGTCTACACTCACATCTTCGTCTATGTGAAGAGGAAGATGGCACGGATGTCCAAGCACACCAGCTTCCACCCACGCTACAAGGAGACGATGATCAACCTCATCAAGACGGTCATCATTATCCTTAGTAAGTGGCTGCGTCTTCTGGTTTCCTGGTCCTGGGAAACGGGGTGTGTTTTGGGACGCAGGCATATGCTTGTTTCCTCCTCCTATAAAACCCTTTCCATTGGCTAATGGACAGAGCTACCTCTTGTGGACTGTCGTTCAAAATGGCAGCTTCATGGATGGGGAAATGACCAACTGGTGGCTGTTCATACTAGCTCTAGAAAGTGATTAGCACTACCTATTGGTTAGAATCTTGGGATATAATGTGTCCTGTTATTTTTTCCCCCCTGTGTGTCGAACTGGTGGCCCTTAAGCTAGAAAAGTTTCTTGACCCGATCTGGCTAGGGTTGCCAACCTCCAGGTGGTGGTTGGAGATCTCCCACTGTTACAGCTGGTCTCCAGGGCAACAGAGATCAGTTCACCTGGAGAAAAGGGTTGCATTGAAGTTCCTCCCCAAACCCCGCCCTCCTCAGGGTCCACCCCCCAAAATCTTCAGGTATTTTCCAACCTGGAGCTGGCAACCCTAGATCTGGCCTCTACCACAGACTTGCTCCGTAGACATGAGCAAGCCACTCTTCAGTTTCCACCCAAATCTGCAGTACGTGGATGAAACTGTCTTATAGGGCTGCACCCAAATAATGTATGTGAACAATGTTGAAAGTCCTGAATTATTAAGCAGTAGTAGTATTAGAGCCCTGACCTGAATGGCCCAGGCTGGCCCAATCTCGTAAAATCTCAGAAGCTAGGCAGGGGGCAGCCCTTGTGGTGTGCGGTGCCGTGGAGTCCACCCTCAAAGCTTCCTTTTTTCTCCAGGGGAACCAATCTCTGTAGTCAGGAGATGAGCCGTAATTCCGAGGGATCCCCGGGTCCCGCCTGGAGGCTGGCATCCCTACCCAGTCTCGCTGCCAGCTCCATTAGCTGGGAATTGAGCCCTGGGGCCCTTTGCATGTGCTTTTGCCAGTGAGCTGCTTCAAATCACTAGATCCAGAGGCAGCCGGGGAAGGAACTGAACAATGTTGATTAGTTCCGCACCGGCTGAGCTTTGGCTTAGAGGGGTAGGGGGGGTTGCTTCGCCTGAGGGAAAGCAGCGGGGGACGGCTCCCCCCCTCAGCTGAGACAGCGTGGATTCGGGCCATCTAACAGGGTCGGCTTCCAGTCTGTCTGCCAAAGCTTCGTTCCCCCCGGAGCGGTCGGAGGGAGCCCTGCAAATGGAGCCAGGCCCTCCTGCTGTGTTGATGAGTTATCTTGGCTTCGCACAGGCGTGTCGGACGGGGTGCTCCTTGGGGTTTTTGGATAATGCTGTGAGGAATGTGCACGCTCGCAGGGGGTGGTGGTGGGGAGGGCGGGATTTCATCTTTCAGATGGAATACTGGGCTGCTGCCTATGAACTTGGGTGTTTTGTTAAGCAACATTTCTGTGTGCTTCAGTGGACTCGGCAAGGCAAGCAGGCACAGCTATCCTTTTAGAATCTTATATCTGCGCGTCCTTTACGATCACTGCATTGGGGCAGGAGTGGGCGAGAGCGCCTGTGATCAGGGAAGGGGCTGTGGCTCAGTGGTAGAGCTTCTGCTCGGCATGCAGAAGGTCCCAGGTTCAATCCCCAGCTGGCATCTCCCATTAAAAAAGGACCAGGCAGGAAGTAGGTGATGTGAAAGACCTCTGCCTGAGACCCTGGGGAGCGGCTGCCAGCTTGAGTAGACAATTCTGAAGCTGATGGGCCAAGGGGTCTGATTCAGTATCAGGCAGCTTCACATGTGTTCAGTCAGTTGTGTGTGTGTAAACTGGTAGCAAATCCACCACACATCTAAAATCGACCTCTTTCAAGTACTGGAAATTCTTCTCTGTGGGTTAATTTTCCCATCTCCCCCACCCCCACCACCCTTATCTGACTCTCAGCTCTGAGCACTCAAGACTAGTTTCAGTGGTTTGTTAATTTTTAAAATTTACAAATGAATACTTGTCTGCGTACTTACGTCATTCCTGACTCATGCAGAAACCTTAGCTCTGTCTGCAGGTGGGCCACTTCAGCTGCCTTGGAAATAAAGCGTTTGACCGTGAAGCTTTTCTGGTAGAGGCAGGTTGGTCCTCTCCCCATCCTCCTGTCCAGAAGGTTATTTATTTATTTATTTATTTATTAGATTTCTATACCGCCCTCCCAAAGGCTCAGGGCAGTTCACAAGCGGCAAAGCCGGAATCTAAAATACAATAAAACACACAATAAAATACAATAATTAAACTACAGTAAGCAACCCAAAACACTACATCATCAGTCAAGGTGGAGACGATCTTCCAACTTGGTGGCCAGCCATTACCAGTACGCGGTCTCCCCGCTAAGCTGTCAGACTTCAGCCTGGGCATAACTGTCCCATCTTCGTAGGGCAGCCGATGACATACTATCTCGTTGGTAGGATAGTGGCGGTGGCGGCTCCTACTCAAACGCCTGGTGGAAGAGCTCCGTCTTACAGGCCCTGCGGAACTGCATAAGGTCCCGCAGGGCCCAGATCTCCTCTGGGAGCTCGTCAGAGGGGGAAGGAACTGTTAAGAGTTCTAGGGGGCCTGAACAGATTTGTTCTCTTCCCTGCCTCCCTGCCCAGTGACTGCCGGCGTGGTGTAGTGGTTAAGACTGGTGGACTCTGATCTGGAGACCGGGGTTTGATTCCCCACACCTCCTGCACATGAAGCCTGCTGGGTGACCTTGGGCCAGTCACAGTTCTCTCAGAGCTCTCTGAGCCCCACCTGTCTCACAAGACGGCTGTTGTGGGGAGAGGAATGGAAGCTAGTTTGAGACTCCTTAAGGTACAGAAAAGCGGTGTATAAAAACCTACTCCTCTTCTTCCACTGCCCAACCAGTTCTCAGCTGCCTGAAGCATATCATACATCCTGGAGCATATTTAGTCCTTATTGGGTTGTACTGGTGTGTGAAGAGAGCCCTTTCTGTCTTGGTTAATTTACGGAGTCAGATTCTTATCTGCATATGTAAGGACCCCCCCCCCCCAAAAAAAAAAACATATCGAAATCCATACCTTGCCTGTGTGTGGCCTGGCTTTTCTGCCTTTGTGATTGGCAGGAGCTGGCCAATTTACTATTACACACAGTAAAATAACAATGATTTTAGAGCCATTGATGTCTATTCAGCTTGTAAGCCCAGTCATTATTACTTTGCAGTATAATCCTAACAAAAACAAAACTTGCTAGCTCTCTCTCTCTCTCTCCCCCCCCCCCCCTCTCTCTCTCTCTCTCTCTCTCTCTTTTTCCTTCCCCCTGCCCCAAGGAATTCACCATCTAAATTCAACCAGCAGGGAGAAACAGAAAAAATGCCGTTGTGCATATTTAAGCTTTATTTTCAGTTGGCAGTGGGGTAGATGGACTGGGTTAAAGCTTTCTCAGAAGAGGTGAGTTCTGAGGAGGGTTTGAAGGAGGAGGTTTGTTCTGGGAGGTCATTCCCAGGTACAAATGGATTCTGGAACTGGAGCCACTCAGAGTTCAGATCTGTTCAACATCCTTCCCTTGCTCGAAAGCCAGTCAAGTCCAACTCTAGGGCTGCGGTGCTCATCTCCGTTTCAAAGTCGAAGAGCCAGCGCTGTCCGAAGATGTTTCCGTGGTCATGTGGCCGGCATGACTAAACACCAAGGCGCACGGAACGCTGTTCCCTTCCCACCAAAGTGGTACCTATTTATCTACTTGCAATGTCTTGCTTTCAAACTGCTAGGTTGGCAGGAGCTGGAACTAGAGACGGGAGCTCACTCCGTCATGCGGCACACTCGGGTCTCGAACTGCTGAACTACCGACCTTCCACAGCCTGCAGTTCAGCGTCTTAACCATTTGAGCCACCGCAGCTCACATACAGGATAGTAGAGCACCTTAAATACTAATATGAATTTTATTGTGGATGTGTAATATTGCTTTATTGTATTTTATCTATTTAGCCCGGCACTAGCCGCTTGTTAGCCGCCCTGAGCCGTTTGGAAGGGTGGGATATAAATCTCAAATAAATAAATAAATAAATAAAAGTTCAGAATAGGATCTGGGAAACCCAGGTTCGAATCCCCACTCTGATATGGAAACTTGCTAGGTGATCTTGGGCCAGTCACACATTCTCAGCCAAACCGCGGAAGGAGAAGGAGAAGATCTGCCCTGGACACGGAAGGAGAGCGCCAACATCTAAGGCCGCCGAAGAAGGCCAGACATCAGCAAGAGGCCTCGCTGCCAGGTGCTGGTAGGAAGCCACACACACACTCCTTCATGATTGTGGCCTTAGTTAGGGAACAAATAATTGTGTAAGCCGCTCAGAGACCCCTTGGGTTCGAGTGGGATACAAGCCGAAAGCATAAATAAATAAATAACCTACCTCACAGGGTGGTTGTAAGGATAAAACAAAGGAGAAGGGAACGACGTGAGCCCCCTTGGGGTCCCCCTTGGGGAGAACGTTGAGGTATAAATAAAGAAACGAAATGAATTGCCAGATAAAATCCCACTGCAATGTAGTACCACTGATAAGATTTGTATCTCTTGGAGTTTGAAAGTACGTACTATGTGCCGTGCGAGCCTGGCTGTGGGGGATTATATTAATGAAAAGCCAACTCTTTAGACATCTCATAACCACAATTAAATTTTTGCAGCGTACTGTCTGCTTTGATGTTAATTGCTCCAGCAGACTCCTGAGAGTCTGATCCACGGAGAGGCCGTGGCTCAGTGGTGGAGCACCTGCTTTGCATGCAGAAGGTCCCTAGTCCAATTCCTGGCATTTCTGGTTTCAAGCAACTGATGTGAAAAACCTTTACTCAAGACCCTGGAACCCTGCTGTCAGTGCGAGAAGACTGCTGACCTTGATTAGCCCAAGGGACTGAGTCAATATGAGGAAGTTTCATGGGTGTGTTGAAAAGTAGTAGTGGCTGCTGGGAGAAACTGGCATCTTCTAGAGATTAGAATGTGAGCATTTTGGTCAAGCCGCAATCCCAGTACACGCGATCCTTGGAGTGGCAGTCCTGAAACAAAGAAGCTTCAAAGGGAAATTACAATGTG